AGTGATAAAAAGTAATAAAAAAATACAAATTTATTTATCGTGAAAAAAGTAGTAAGAACATTGGGTTGTGAGATAATAGCTGATTGCTTTCACAAGAAAATCAAAAAAAATAAAAAACTTCATTTTTGATTGAGTTTTGAGAATATGCTTTTTTTTTTCAAAAAATAAAATTAGTTTGACAAAATAAATACTAAAAAAATATTTTTTAAATTTAAAAAAATTACTTTTGTCCCACAAAAGAGAAAACTCAAAGTATTTTCTTTTGCAAAGTGAAAGTCAATTTACCAGCATGATCTGAGTTGTAAAGAAAATTTAACCACTTTTACACCACTCTTATGATAAAAAAATACAAAATTTTATTTTTTCTTTTTCTCACACATCAAGTTCTTCATTCTAACCAGACTTATCCTAAAGAATTACACTCGAGTAATAATTTTTTTTAATAATAATAATTGCACCACGGATTTAGAAACTTAGATAGGTGGTATACAAATTAAATAAATAAATAAAGTAGTATTAAATTTCCCTTTTCTGTGTCTACCAAACACATCCTTACCAAAAATATGCTTCCTTGCTTCCTGCGCAACATCCCCACGTAAAACAAAAGGAACCAAAATAGAAAGAAGATCACAAACTAAATTAGTCCTACTACAACAATACTCCCACCATCTCCAAAAGTTATTTTTAATATTCTTAGGTGGAATGATTGAAATAGAATAATCATTTTATCAATTTCTTTTTTCATATTTGGTTAATTAAAAAAAAAGGTGAATTATACTATTAGTCTTTATAATTTGAGACTTGTATTACGTTGATCCTTAACTTTTTAATTGTGACACATTGAATTTTGAATTTTGAATTTTGAATCTTATTTTAAATAAGGACAATTGAAGATATTATTGCTCAATTTCAAAGACAAAATCATCAATTTGATAAAAATTAATGTCAAATTTTTTTTTTGAATTTTTAAAATTATTTCTACCAAAGATAAAATTATGTAAAATTGATAAATCTTTTATACATTTATTTATTTATTTATTTTACCAAATTAATTTTTATTATGTGTTTGGATGATAATTGTGTAATGAATGGTTGTTTTTATTTCCATTAAATTAGTTTTTATTTTTTCAAAAGTTAAAGATGGTGACAACTGTAATATCATTATTAATCCAATCCATTAAATCAAAAAATCTAAAGCTAAAAACATTTCATATATTAAATATATCAATTACACATTAAAATCCTAACAACCACTCATTACATGATCATCATCCAAACACATAATAAAAATTAATTTGGTAAAAAAATAATAATAACAAATGTCTAAAAGATTTATTAATTTTACATAATTTTATCTTTGGTGGATAAAAATAATTTTTACAAACTCAAAAATATTTTTTTGACATTTATTTTTGTCAAATTAGTTTATATTTTATCAAATTGACGCTTTTATCCTTAAAATTAAGTAATAGTATTTTCAAATGTCCTTAATTGAAACAAAATTCAAAATTTATGGTCAAATATATCACAATTACAAAGTCAGAGACCAAAAGTAACACAAGTCCCAAACTGTAGGAACTATTAGTGAAATTCACTCAAAAAAATAATATCTAAACATTCAATAATGTTTGGGCATGTATGTTTTTAGTAAGATTGTTAATAAGAATTTAAGGAGATAGAGTATTTCTCCATAAGAGAATGTTATCAGTCGAATCTTGTTTCAAATAAAGACAATTGAAGATACTATTACTCAATTTCAAAGACAAAATCATCAATTTGATAAAAATTAATGTCAAAAAATATTTTTGAATTTTTAAAATTATTTCTACCAAAGATAAAATTATGTAAAACTGATAAATCTTTTACACATTTATTTATTTATTTATTTATTTATTTTACCAAATTAATTTTTATTATGTGTTTGGATAATAATTGTGTAATGAATGGTTGTTTTTATTTCCATTAAATTAGTTTCTATTTTTTCAAAAGTCAAAGATGGTGACAATTGTAATATCATTATTAATCCAATCCATTAAATTAAAAAATCTAAAGCTAAAAATATTTCATATATTAAATATATCGATTATATCTTAAAAGCCTAACAATCACCCATTACATGATCATCATCCAAATACATAATAAAATTTAATTTGGTAAAAAAAAAATGTGCAAAAGATTTGTCAATTTTACACAATTTTATCTTTGGTGGGTAGAAATAATTTTTAAAAATTCAAAAATGTTTTTTTTTGACATTTATTTTTGTCAAATTAGTTTATATTTTATCAAATTGATGACTTTGCCATTAAAATTGAGCAATGGTATCTTCAATTATTCTTATTTGGAATATGATTTAAAATTTAGAATCAAATTTGTCATAATTGAAAAGTCATGGATTAAAGTGACACGAGTCCCAAACTACAGGGACTGTTAGTGTAATTCATCACTAAAAAAATAATAAAAATATATTACAAATAAAATTTTCATTCGCCATTGTGAGAAAAATGATAATTTCATAAGAAATCATAAGGAATAATCGTTATATTTTATTTCACTTGATCTCATTTTAGTAAACTAAACAGTGAATTAGAAAACGGTTGCATAATCGAGTATGTAAAATGTACAAACAAACATTTTAAATTACTTAACGTGCCTCATCAAATTCTATTTTAATTACAAAACCGTTACATACATGAAATTGTTATACAGAAATATACTAAAAAAATTTATTGTGTAATCAAGATTCATTAAATACAGAATCCACAATACATGAATTAAATCTACACCATGCATTCTTTGCTTGAGTCATTTTTTGTGCACCAATTTTATGCACATATTTTTATTAATGTAAAATTATATTCCAAGAGCACCCACTAATTTTCTTCCTAGTGGAGCTCCTTTTTTTTTAATTATTACTATTATTTTTTCATGTGAAGTATATTACATAAAGTTACTAACATAATCAGGGGCACATTTTGCATAAAAAACAAATTCAATTCAGAAGTTTCAATATAAAAAAATAATAAATAAAAAAAAGTTGATCAGACGGTTGGTATCATTCACATAAGAGATCATGAATTATATCAAGTGGGCCCAAAACCAAAATACAAAATTCAAAGAAAATGAGGTTGGTGATGAGTCGTTTTTGTATATATTAATCCCTAGGCTCACAGAGCTGCCTAGTGGCTTATGAGATATAGATGTATGTATGTTTCCCATAAAACGTAGAAAGCAATGAATTAACCAAATCACCAAACACACCCTTCAATTCATAGGAGAGGCTCACACAACAGTGACAGCTCAACCCTCCTTCCCTCCTTCCTCAGCCCACTTTCTTAAGAAAAATGCTTCATACCACTAATTTAACACCACTAATGCACCATTAATGATGTGGCATCATGTGGACCCACCACTGATGTGATAGTTTGGCCTTTGTTTTGTTTTATTTTTTTTTCTTTACATTGTCATCTCATTAGTGGTGTTTTTAGAGCTTCAAATTTAGTACTCTAAATTATCACTCCTTTCTTAATTACTAAATCAAAAAAAAAAAAAAAATTGAGATAAAGGGTTTGGACCATCCACCCCCTAATTTGATAACTGGAGCACAAATATTATTATTATTAAATTTTTTTTTGGGTGTGTGAACCTATTCAATATTTTTAAAATTTTCAATTTTTTTTTTTAAAAATCTAGTGTGTTTTAATGTTTTGATTAATAATTAAAAAACATACAAAAGAAAAAAATAACACATGAGAGTGATAAGTTGATTGATGATTAAGCTTAAAAAATCAATCTAATTTTTGAATTTCAATACCACTACTCTTATTATTTTGTTGGGTTAGTGAGTGGTGGTTTAATCTCTCCCTTTCTCTCTCTCTTTAATTCTTTGGCTTTCTCTTCTCTTGTCTTGTTTTTTTTCTTTTAATTTTTTTAGAAAAAAAAATTCCTCTTTTTGCGTATTAATTTGGATTGATTTAGCTGTAGGAATTTTGATTATTCGAAGTATTAAAAACATAAGTTTGAATTGTTTAAAATTTTTATTCTGCAGCCACATAAAAATTGAAAATGAAGGGTGATTTATTCGGTAGTTTAAGAGTACGATTACATGGTATTCTATAATATTATAATTGGTGAAAAAAGTAAAATATTAATTATATAATAGTCCCGAAATATCACGTGATTATACTCTCTCATCAATCACTATTCATTATACTTTTCATTATTTTCAATTACACAATACAAATAATTAATACTTCACTTTATTCACCCATCATACTATGCCTGTGTTTGGCAAGTGGGTTTGTAGACTTTTTTGGCTATTTTAGCCACAAAAAATAAAATAGGCTATTTTAGCCGTAACAAACAAAATATCACATCCAACCCATAATCATTACATTTTTCTCTCATAAAAAAACTCAAAAAAATCAAAAAGTCAAAAAGTCCTTCCCAAACCAAGCTTTTAAGCCCAGGCTAAAATAGCTAAAAAGCCAAAAAGCCAACTCACTTCCCAAACGGAGGCTATATTATGTGGTGTTTTAAGAAATTAGCAAAAAAGTTGACTTTTTGACTTTTTTGACCAAAGACCGGATTGTTTTGAATAAAAAAATTAATTTTTTTAACTAAATAAGTTAAAAAGTTAAAAAAATAACTTTTTATCATTGTTCCAAAAAATGCTACGTAACCATACTTCCAAACTATCGAATAATTATCCCATTGGTGAAACACTACTAGAGAGTTCTCAAATCAGAGACTTTAATCTGCACCTAATAAAATTATTGTATGTAATTACCTAAGATTAATGTCGCCTAATCCAACTCACAATCCCAAGCTTAGCTGGGGTTGGGTTACCTTAGGTTAGGTTAGGTTAGGGGTTTAGAACACAGCCATTAATGGAATAATAAAAAATATATAAAAAAAAAAACTAAAAAAAGAAATTAAAATAAAAGCAAGCAAAATGTCAGGAGGCCACTGACCTCTTTCCCATACCTCTCTCCTTCGTCTCCTCTCTCATTGTAATGATTCTATAGCTCTCCTCTCTCTCTCTCTCTAGTTTTTATTTTTTATTTTCAAAACAAACAAAAGCAATCAAAATTCACAGTTCTAAAACTGCATACGCACTGTCTCTCTAATATCTATGTTCATAGCCTGAACACCTGCATCTTATTTTTTCTCTGTGTATATGTAAAAATCTGCAAGTTCACAGAAGTGTTAGCATATGTAAAAGTCTTATGTCTCAGATCCCGATATAGGACTCTCTCTCTCTCTCTCACCCATAACAAGAAAACTGCTTGCTTTTCTTCTTTTTCTACTCTTCTCTCTCCTCTTTCGCTCTATATCAACACACACATATATCACCATAGAGACCCTTTTGTGGTCCTCAACACTAACCCTGTTTTTTTACTTTCTTCACATACCCACATACCCTTTTATATACATTTATCTCTTCCACTACATAACCCTTTACTTTGATTCATATATACACACACATAAGACAGTGTTTGGTTGCTGAGAAAATGCAAGAACAAGGTCTAGCCATGATGGGTGGTGGTGGCGGTGGAGGAATTGGTGGTTTAACCGATATTTCGGTGTTTTCCGGCGCGCAAAACACCCAACTCAAGGCGGAGATCGCCACAAACCCTCTCTACGAGCAGCTTCTCGCCGCCCATGTGGCGTGCCTCCGTGTTGCCACGCCGATCGATCAGTTACCTCTTATCGACGCTCAGCTTTCTCAGTCACACCATCTTCTAAGGTCTTATGCTTCTCAGCACCACCACCATAACCATCCTCTCTCTCCTCATGAGAGGCAAGAGCTTGATAACTTTTTGGTGGGTTTTTTTTTTTTTGATTATCCATTTTGATTTGTTGTTTGTTTGGTTATTTTTTTGAAGATTGAAAATGGATTTTGGTTAGTAATTAGGTTTTGTGGTGATTTTTTGTATTCACAGGCACAGTATATGCTTGTTTTGTGTTCTTTCAAAGAACAGCTTCAGCAACATGTCAGAGTCCATGCTGTTGAAGCTGTCATGGCCTGCCGTGAAATTGAACAGAACTTGCAAGTCCTCACTGGTACCCTTCCCTCTCTCTCTCTCTCTATATATATATATATATATATATATATATATACAAAAACAAATGACATAGATATTGGAGATGATATTGGATCAAAGGACATATCTTGTGTGCTTGGTTGGAGATGTTTGGTATTTCAATCAGGTTTGAAAGAAAAACATTTTGAGTCCTTTAAAAATTTTCTTAATTTAAATTACAGTAATCTCTCATTTTATGTGTTAACTTTTGATTTATTATAAATTCAATCACATAAAATCCAATAACAATCTTATCATATCAAGGGGCTAAATTAACAGATTTAGATTATAAATTTTAAATATTGATTGGAGATAATTTGTATTTGAATAAGGATGATAAGATATTTATCAATATAGGCAATATTACTAATAATTCATATCGTTATTTAAAATTATCATTTTAATTGTTTTGATGGTTTGGTATTTTGATTGGGCTTTAACTTAGACACAAAGGATATGAAGTAATTTGGGGTTCTTGTAAGTTGCAAGTTTGTGTTGCCCTACAATTGGTGGGTGTGTGATGGGACCTACTTAAGAAATTTTTTTAGTTTATAGTTAGGAGGGTAGTTAGTTTGGTGATGTAGGGAACAAAAGAGAGAGAATACCAACAACTGATAGGGTGTTTATTGAAATATTTTGTTTCTAGAATAATTCTATTGTGAAACATTGATCGATTAATCTGAGCTTTGTAAAGACAAAACAAACATGATAGTGTTCATCACGTATTAGGGTTAAAGTCAAACAATTGGTAGACATAGATTGTTGATATCTTGTTACCTGATTAAATAAATTGGAGATGATCAAACTTGGAACCTAATTATTTCTTATTTTGTCATGTTATTATTACCATAAAGAAGTATGGGATCAATTAACTATTAATCTAACTACATGAGTATGTTGCTTGATTAAATGTATAAGGGTAACCTAAGGATTGACCTAGCGATAAATATTTGAGAATAATATTTAAAGCCTTGAGTTCGAGTTAATAATGGGTCACTTGCGGTATGCTTAGTCGTTAATTTTATGATATTAAATTAGTTGAGGTGTGCGCAAACTGGTTCCGACATCTAGTTATTAAAAAAAAACTATACAAGGCTTTGATTTTTTTTCTTTTATAACTCGATATCCAGCCCATTGAACTAATTAAATCAGGAGACTAATCCTACCATTTAGTTTCCGAGAATCTATTTGCATCCAAGAGATTTCGAATCTAAGACTTTTGGAGGGAACACACCCAGGTCCCAAGCCTTGACCATCAGACCAATCTCTTGAAGTTAAAGCTTTGATTTTCTATTGTAATATGGCTAAAATTGTGTGTTGAAGTGTGTTAATTGATAAAAAATAGTACAAATGAGACTAAATTTTGTATGTTATGTTTTGTTAATTTGAAAAGTGAATGAATTCGTTAATAGTGCAGTTAAAATGTGTGTTAGATGAGCATAAAATTGTTTCTATGTTAACTATCTAGATGTGGGGGTGTAGCTCAAGCCCTTTTGCCTCTAATTTTTTGGGGAGTTTTGATGTTCGAGCTTTTGGAGACGAAATACTCAATTGTATTAATCTAACATACAAACTCACTAATATGCTAATATTTATCCAAAAAAAAGAGAAAAGAAAAGAAAAGAGGAGAACTTGAGTATAACACTTAAAATTGCTTAAGTCCTTGCTTCTATTTTGATCCCATCATAAATTGGATTTTTGTTTTGTTTTGTTTTGTTTTTTTGAAATTCTTGTGCACATAATTAAATTATTATGCTGCCTCTTTCAACAAAATTATTAAGCTGTCCAACTCTAGGAACTTATATACTATGTCTAATTTGAAAAGTGTTAGGTAATCTGATTTTTGTTGCAAGGTCTCTCTAACACATGTGCAAATGTTCGAATAAAAGAGACTCATTATATATTAGAGAGGTGGCTTGAAATAGATGGTAAAGAGAATACAAAGAGAGGATCCAGACTTGTGGCTTGGACTGATTGAAATCATTCTGTAGGCAAGAACATTTTTACTGCGTGGAAGAATTTGATTGACAAGACAGTAATTTCAAAATCCAAATCATCTGAGATTAAATTTTAAAGTTAGTTGTAAAGTAGATTTTATATTGATTAAAATAATCATAAAATTAAAATTTTGCTTATAGGATGAACTTCTAATGTCATGCAAAAGTGTAATTTACCTTAAAAACTATCACACATGAGATCTTGATGCAAATGTGATCTAATAAAATGTTTATTTTACATTAGCTTCATAATTGGCTTGAGATGATCCGGACTCCTAATTTGGGAGCTCTCTTACTCTTTGCTTGCCCATGTTATGCTTTTCTAGAGGGATCATGAAGTATACCCTTACATTTTTTTTATTTTTTTATTTTGTGTATGTGTGTGCGTGTGTGTTAATAATAGCTTATACGATGAACTTCTTAATGGGTATTGCTATAGAGATTATATTTTGTGTTGAATGACAAGTGCACAAGGTGCATGCTCATTTTTGCAATGCCTAGGTAATGAAATCACCTACGGGCCAGCCCATTAGTCTGTCTGGACCAAGTCTGTTGAGCAGAGCTTGGACCTAAGTTTTTGTGGCTCAGCCAAGCCTAATGTCAACCATTAATTGGCACCATAAATTTGCTGCTACAGTTTCAGTATTCTCGTGGGCATATTTAGATAGAGCTCTAAATGCTGAAATCACAGTTGTTGAAAGCATATGCTGAAATGAGACATGCACCATATGCTTCCATTGGGCTGGGGTATCCATTGCCTACCACATAAGGCCTAAAATGCATTAGATAAAACAAGATAATCTTTGGGCACACATGTTATTCACATAAATCACAAAAATAAAAAATAAAAAATATTGTGAACCAACATTTTAGTTTTTTAGTTTGTTGATGGGAATATTGGAGTCAGTCTATGGGTGCACACTTTCAATTGTTATGATTTGATATGGTTGAGTTATGACTTAACCTGGCTTTTGTTGCAGTCACATGTGCTTTTAGTTTTGATGGGTTAATTTGAATTAAATTTGCAACTTTAATTGCAATTTAATGTGATTTGGTGATGACCTAAGTGGAGTTTTAATGTATTGGATACAGGTGTGCACCATACGGGGCATGTAGTATGACAGAATTTTTAATAATTTAGGGGTAGACACAGTTTGTATTGGTTCATATTAGAGCCAAACTCAGAACCGAACCAACCACTTTTGACAAATTTTATTAATCCATAAACATTTAATGTCCGATTCTTTGACTTGTTTTTGTATTCCTATAATTGTTATTCTTAACCCGTTTAGCACACACACGAAAGTGCCAAGATTCAAGATTTCTCTTATAAAATCTTGGAACTCTTTCATTTGCTGTGTTTTAAGATAGTCTAGCACTTAGTACAGGGGTTGCCTTGCACTTACTAATGGGTGGCCCAGTTGTACTAGGAACACATAAGATTTTTACATAATGAGTCACAAATGTGAGAAAGAGGTGGGTCACCTACATATTTTAGTTCCATTTGTGTTATTTTCCAGTAAATTTTTTCTGACTGGCAGCCCTACCTGCGAAGGAAAATAACTCATGTTTAACAACTACTAATGAATTTGTTTCTTTGTATGTGCTAAAGTATACCCATTTTGCATTTTATGCTATATGTATATGTAGAGTGCATATTCTTTAGCAATTTGAAACAGAAACCCAAAAACAAAATGAACATGAAAACATGAATTGGAATTTATAGTCATATACCACCTCAAGTTCTAACAAACTGTAATTTCAGGAGTTAGTCTAGGCGAAGGAACAGGTGCGACTATGTCAGATGATGAGGATGAGCTGCAAATGGATTTCTCACTAGATCAATTTGGTGGTGACGGACATGACATGATGGGGTTTGGTCCTCTGATTCCGACAGAATCTGAAAGGTCTCTCATGGACAGAGTTCGCCAAGAATTGAAGGTCGAGCTCAAGCAGGTGAGCTTTTGCAAGTGTATTAACTTTTAGTGATTTTGTTTAGTATGAAGATATCACAGAAACAATCTCTCCAAAAATAGAAATAAAAGTATGTATCTTGATCCCCATATTGATGTACGATCATAATCACACACTAAACTAAGAAATTATTATGTGTAGAATTTAATTTTTGTGATTGCTTTTGGATATGTTAACAAGCTCATATTTTGGAGTTGATTGATTCACTATAATTTAACTTATTTAATTGTTAGTATAATAGTATTAAGGCAAACAACTGGTTTCTTTTAGCTTCCTTTTGTAGTTTAATTTCCTTGTGTGGTGTTTATGATTTGGGAAAAATTAATTTCATTTCTTAGTTTTTATGGGTCTAAGGTTTGCAGTGTCAAAGTTGGTAAATTATTAGTTTTTTTTTTTACTTTGGCGTCAACGTACTAATAGGCCTCAACTTAGAGGTGTCGCCTTAGGTTCACCCTGCCCCAGATCCTACTTTAACCGGAGTTTTGTGCTCCCCTTTTTATGAAAAGTTAGAAGAACTTTGCAAAGAGTAGAGTAGACTATTATTTTCCCCCTTTTTTCGCAAGAAAAATTTGGAAAAGTTGGGTTTGCAATTGAGAAAATACTTCAAACTTTTGTGACCCGATAGTAAATTAACTGCAGCTTTCAAAATCAAAATAACTATTTAAAGATGCTAAATAACATGGGCAATGCCTAAATATCCAAATTTCTTGTAGTCTGGGTTATTGTTTCATGTAATTGATTGTATGCTTCCTCTTTGTTTTGCAGGGATTTAGGTCGAGGATTGAAGATGTCAGAGAGGAGATATTAAGAAAAAGAAGGGCAGGGAAATTACCGGGGGACACCACCTCAGTGTTGAAAAATTGGTGGCAGCAACATGCTAAATGGCCTTACCCAACTGTGAGCAACTAACTTCAGCAATTACCATACCAACAATTTTTCAAGTTTTCAGTTTTCTAATTTTGTTATTTAATTAAAATTTCTGAATTCAGTTTCAGCAGCATTTTAGGTCCTAAATTCCAACACAACAGCATAAAAATATCTGAAAATTTTGAAATTCAATGAAATATATATCGTAAAATATATAGGATAGCGTGGATCCTGATAATAGTAATTTGATATTTTCGCACTTGTGGTATGTAGTCCTCATTCTACATGTATATATAGCTGGGGGTGGCTATCTCATAATTTCGTTTATAACTTCTTCAGATCATAGTGAAGCGGTGGTGACTGTAGAAGCGGTAGCCCCTAGTTTTGGAGGGAACCGTGTAAATGCTATGTTTTTGTGTGTATATGATATACAATTTCTGTTTATTGTTCTTATCTGTTTTTTTTTTTTTTTGCCTCATTTATCCTAGTTAGGGGTTCCATATTTTTTTTTTTTTTTTTTTTTTTTGCCTCATTTATCCTAGTTAGGGGTTCCATAATTCCTAACAAAGTATGTGTTAGTGATGTTAAATAAACAAATACAACCAAACAGGGCAGGGAAAATGGGATGGAAAAATATAAAGAGGATGTTGGATTGAAACCAAACTGAAGAGGCAATAACTGTTTTGTTTTGAATGTTGTTGTGATGTGTTTGATGCATCAAATTTAATTGCTGCAATGCTTTTCCAAATCTTAGTCACTTCATCACTTTCAATTAATGTGAGTTTTGTGTATGGGTCAGACTTCAGTAACGATCATTTCATTTTGTGAAATTTTCAGGAAGATGACAAAGCGAAACTCGTGGAGGAGACGGGCTTGCAGCTAAAGCAAATCAACAATTGGTTCATCAACCAAAGGAAGCGAAACTGGCATAGCAACTCGCAGTCGGTGACAGCTCTCAAGTCCAAGCGCAAAAGGTAGACATGCAATCCATTGATCTGATTTGTTTCAACTGAAGAATAGAGACTGAAGAGTACAGAGTGTGTCTGTATATATAGCTTTCATATAGAACATCCATGGCAGACATCTAGCCAACAATGGTTTAAAAAAAATTTAAAAATTAAAAAAAAAAAAAAAATGAAGTGGGAAAATTGGTAGTTAGATGAGTCTACAGAACAGGTACACAATGTAGTGATTGGTGTTTAGAATGGTATACTTGTTGTAAGGGTGTAAATTTCTATGTTCACAAGAGTGAAAACTAACATATTTGTTCTATTATGTTAACTTGCAGTAATGCTAAGTGCACAAAATTAGAACGTAAAAAGAGCACATAAAATGTATTGTATGGTTGACATTTATCTTCATTGTGATGTGGGCCACAGTTGAAATAGTATCTCAACCACACAATACATTTTTTGTGTTCTTTCTGTGTTCTAATTCTGCACGATTAGCATTACTTCTATTACTTGAGACACACTGTAATTGATTGATATAGCTTCTCACCTGCTAGTTTATTTGAATTTTTTGTGATGTATTGTATGTCCAATATAAATTTTGAATTTGGATTCTCATAACATGCTCTTGTTAAACCAAATCAAATTAAATCTGTATCCTGATCAAGTATAGTTGTTTATATGGATGTTTTTTTCCCTCCATTTTGTTATGTCAAGAGTTGTATGTTCAGTTATATTAAATTAATTTATATTTTCAAAACATGCTTTCATAGTATGGAACCATGAGGTTCATTGACAGTGAGATTTGTGTTGTTATTTGAGTTGTAGTTTTTTACCAAATAACCTGTTCTAGCATATTGTACCTTTTTCTTTTTTGGTTAGCATAATTTATATAACGTGTAACGTTATGATAAGGACCTTCAATCTGTTGATTTGAAATTGAATACAAAAAACAAAGCTGTTATCTGAACTCATTGATTCATGAAGAATGATGGGAAAAGATGTGGTTTTCATTGTGATTTTATCTTAGTAGTTATTACTTCAAATTTATTGATATCTGCGGAAACTAGTGATTTTTTTTTTTTTTTTGGTACATCGGAATGAAAAAAACCACAAACAGGGACTAAGCCCTTTTCCTAGCTAACCCAACCATATCAGAGACCAAGAGTTCTCTGATTTCAACAGGTGGGTCATTTACAACAAGGATGTCCTCAGGTTGGTCAGCTTCGAGTTTAGCCATTGCATCGGCACATAGATTTTCGTCTCTGTAAGTGTGTTGTACAGTGCATTGACAATCATTGAATATTATCCTTGCATCTTCCACTAGGCCTTAGAGTTGGTGATGGTCTCCAGGACTTTCTTTAAGTGGCTTCACTACTTTAGCTGCATCTGTTTCAATTATCACCTTGTGGAAACCTCTTTGAAGGATGATGGTGAGGCCTTTGTAACAACCCATAATTCTGCCTCAAGGCTGGTACATGTCTCAAGTTTGCCATAGAATCCATAGATCTATGCTCCTGTTTCATCTCGGAACAGGCCTCCAAAACCTTCAGGTTTAGCCATTTTGTAGTAGCCATCAATGTTCATCTTGAGGGTATTTGAAGGAGGACAATTCCACTTGATTAGCATAATTGCTGGTCTTGGGTTAATAATAGACAAAATGAAAGCTTGGTTGATCTCTTTGGAAAAATATGATATGAACTTAATGCTTTCAAAAATGCTGGTAGTTTTACCAAGCCAAACCATGCCTTAAGTCGCATCAAAGTGATTGAGAACCATGATTTGGTTATATAAATCATTCTTCTCCACACGGCCCTATCAAAGGTCATTCCGTTAGTCAAATTAAGTAGATCCATATCTCTATTTACAACGCTAGCCAACGTTAATTTAGGCCTACCCGGTCCCCTAACACTTCTATCTATCGTTACAACATTGCATCTCTTCACTACTGCCTTTGTTAGTCTTCGTTGAATATGATCAAATCATCTCAATCGATTCTCTCTCAACTTATCTTCTATCGGTGCTACTCCTACCTATTCTCGAATACACTCATTCCTAATTTTGTCTTGTTTCTTGGTTGCCTAATACTCTGTCCCATACAATATCGCTGGTCTAATAGTCGTTCTATAGAACTTACCTTTAAGTCTAATGGGTATTCGTTTATCGCACTGTACCCCAGACGCACTTCTCTACTTGTACCATTCCGCTTTTATCCTATGGGCTACATCCACAGCAATCTTCCCTGCTGTTGTGATAATCGATCCTAAATAATGAAAATGTTCACTCTTAGGTAGTTCTTGGTTCTCAATCTTCACTTCTCCTCTGCTTTCATTGTTACTGTTACTAAATTTACACTCCATGTACTATGTCTTAGTTCTGCTTATCCAGAATCCTTTAAATTCAAGAGCTTCTCTCCAAATCTCCAACTTTGTGTTAATTCCTTCTCTAGTCTCATCCACTAGCATGATATCGTCTGCAAAAAGCATACACCATGGCACGTCATCCTGAATATTTATCGTTAACTCATTCATAACTAAAGCAAAAAGATAAGAACTTAAGGTAGATCCTTGGTGTAACCCTACAATGATAGGAAATTCATTTGTTTCTCCAAAAGACGATCTAATAATGGTTACCACCCCTTCATACATGTCCCTAATCACATCAATCTAAGCTTTTGTTACCTATTTTTTCTCTAACACCCACCATATTATATTCTGAGGTACTCTATCATATGCTTTCTCAAGGTCAATAAACACCATATGAAGGTCTCTTTTCTTTTCTCTATACTTTTCTATTACTCTCTTCAAAAGATAGATCGCTTCCATTGTTGACCTGCCAAGCATAAACTAAAATTGATTCAATTGATTCTCTAACACCTTTGTTATATCTTGCAATAGGCATTCCATCACCTTCTCCCACACTTTTATTATATGACACATTAGCTTGATTCTTTTATAATTGTTTCAATTTTGGACATATCTTTTATTCTTATAGATTGGCATTAAAATGCTCATTCTCCACTCATCTGGCATGTTCTTAGTCAACAAAATTTTGTTAAACAACCTAGTCAACCAAGCAACTTTTTTTTTACCCAAACACTTCCAAGCTTCAATAGAGATGTCATTGGGTCTTAAAGCTTTATTTGATTTCATCTTTTTAAGTGCAATCTCCACTTCAAAGTTCTTAATCCTACGATAGAACCTATAGTCTTGGTTTATCGTATTACTGGCTATTTCTTCCTCTATTGTCGTACCTCCATGTTCCTCATTTAATAGTTTCTCAAAATAGTTCTTCCATCTTTCCTTAATCTCTTCATCCTTCACCAATACCTTAGAATCATCACTCTTGGTGTATTTAACTTGATTAAAATATCTTGTTTTCCTCTTCTGTATCTTAGCAAGTTTGTATACCCTCTTCTCTCTCTCCTTACTATCTACTCTAGTGTATAGGTCATCAAAAGCTTTCAACTTAGTCTCTCTCACTACTTTCTTGACCTCCTTATTAGTCAATCTATAGCTCTTAAGAATTTCCTCAATTTTATCATTCTGCTACTTTTTAAAGCACTCTTTTTTTGCCTTAACTACCGCTTAAACCTCTTCCCTCCACTACCAAGTTTCCCTAGAGTTGGGTCCTATTCCTTTCGACTCTCCAAGCACTTCCCTTGAGATTCTCCTCATACAATTGGCCATCGAATTCCACATAGTGTTAGCATCATATTCCAAGTCCCAAGTACCTTCCTTATCCATTTTATTCTTAAATATGTCTAATTTATCCCCTTTTAGGTCTCACCATCCTTCTTAGCTTGGTATTGCTCTCTAAAATATAAATCTAGTACGAAAATCTTATGTTGAGAGGACAGACTCTCTCCAGGAATTACCTTACAATCATTGCATTTTAGGTGGTCCACTTTTCTCACTAAGAAATAATTTATTTGGCTCTTAACTGACCCACTCTTAAAGGTTATCAAATGCTCCTCCCTCTTCTTATACACAGTATTGGCCACCACCAGGTCAGAAGCCAATGCAAAATCTAAGATACTCTCTCTAGTCTCATTTTTGTTACCAAAACCGCATCCACCATGCACCATTTCATAGCCTAGTTTGTCTATGCCTACATGGTCATTAAAATCTCCACCTATAACTAGGTTATCTTCTACGAGTATCTCCTGTGAGATCTCATCCATTTGCTCCCAAAAATCCCTCTTAGATTGATCATCTAATCCTACTTGAGGGGTGTATGCATTAATAACGTTTACTAAATTCCCTCCAATAACTAGTTTAACTAATATAATCCTATCCCATTTTCTAATGACCACTACTACATTCTCCATAAGACTCTTGACAATTATAATTCCTACCACATTCATACGTCTATCCTTACTACTATAATACAATTCAAAACTGATATCCTCAATTTCCTTAGCTTTCTCACCTGTCCACTTGGTTTCTTGTACGCAAGCTATACTAATTCTCCTCCTAATCATAACATCTACCAATTTCAGATTTTCCAAAGAGTGATTGAAAAAATAGTGCACCAAGGAGTATTTTTTCCAGAACTGTTTTTACTTTTTAGATTGCATAACAGCCAATTCTTCTAAGATGAATTTCTCATCTCAAGGTACCAGTTTCTGGTGAAAACTGCCACCCACACATTCTTAGCTTCAGAACAAGTTCTAAAGAGGTGGTCCAAATCTTTCATCTCGAAACTAGTGATTTCAATTTACTAAATATCTCGTTAGTCTCCGAGAAAATTTTGTATGTAATAGATGTTCTCTCACACAGAAATGGGGCGCACACATTATAGAACCCACTTCTTTACGAAAGGAAGATACATCAATATGATGCACCCGCTACGTATAATACTTACAAGTTTGGAAAGTCTCTATTTTAAAATTAAAAAGTGCAAGTTAAAAAGTCACTACTAAAAAGTCAACTATTCTTTCTACCCTTCATTACGTATTTTTATGAAAAATCAAAAACCAACTAATATAATTAATTTCCAAAACAATTCTTGAGTATGGTGCAAAGTATTTACTTGATGTTTTACATTTGGAAGCACCATGTAATAAAATATGCAAGTAGGCCACTTATGCAATTATGTTAGTGATATCCACTTACTACATATGACCATGATCAATACATGTAAGCTAATTTAATTTCATTGATCATTTGTCTCACAGGAAGATTTATTCTCCCTAAATAAATAAATAAATAATTCCCATAAAGGAAAGGAGAAGGCTAATGCTCCCTCCATTAAATCACTTCCAACACAGAAATAACAATTTTCAAACTTTAAAACGGTAAAAAGAGAACTAAAAAGGATAAGTGAGAAGGACACCCATTAAGTTGTAATGTATTAATGAATTAATATACAATTATATAGCAAATTAAAAAGCAAAAAAGGAATTGAAGGAAGCATATACAAAAAGAGCCATATATCCTTCAATGGACAGCCTAAAAGGAGAAAATGAAAGCTACAATAATATTAGGGACACTAGGATAGGGATTTGAAACTAGGGCCGTGTGTCGCAATGTAAGGTGCATATCTCACACTATTATTAAAGTAATTTGGTGGACATTTTTTTTTATTGAAACTGATCTTTTTTACTACATGATATAATTAAAAAAATAAAATTCAATTACTATTAAAACTTATCTTTGTCGTTAA